AAAGGGGTAAACCCGAAAGGTATTATAAAAGGATATTTTAAAATTTTTAAATTCGTAAAAAGTGAACAACTATCCTTGCATAGCCTATATATAGGCATAGGACTTTATTTCTCCGTCGGGGTGGGTAAGGCCTTTGTTTTCCCGGTTTTCCAGAGTGTATATACAGTCATTATCACATCCAGTCATCTCTGAAGAGATCTATCGATCTACATGAAATACGACTATCGTCAGTATTTTTACTTATAATTTATTTAACTATATATTAAACTATCTAATAAGGGTAATAACAATGTTTGATAAAATAAAAATGTTATTGTTGGGGGGGGGGGCTAGGATGTTCCTGGGACCGGCAAGTTCCTCTTAGGCCAACATTTCTTCTGATGCAACCGTATTTGCGTTTTCTGTTAATTCAAGAGTTCCATCGAACACGGCGGGGTCAAAGTCGCCTCTAGTGTTGCGTAATCGGCTAAAAACTACGCCTAAGCCTAAAAATCGGCTAAGCCTAATTAGGCTAAGCTTAAAAATCGGCTAAGCCTAAAAATAAATGGGCTAAGCCTAATTAGGCTAAGCCTAAAAATGGGCTAAGCCTAATTAGGCTAAGCCTAAAAATGGGCTAAGCCTAAAAATGGGCTAAGCCTAAAAATGGGATAAGCTTAAAAATGGGCTAAGCCTAAAAATGGGCTAAGCCTAAAAATGGGCTAAGCCTAATTAGGTAAGTTTAAAAATCGGCTAAGCCTAAAAATCGGCTAAGCCTAAAAATCGGCTAAGCCTAAAAATCGGCTAAGCCTAAAAATCGGCTAAGCCTAAAAATCGGCTAAGCCTAATTAGGTTAAGCCTAAAAATCGGCTAAGCCTATATAAATCTGCTAAAATTAAATTAGTCAAAATTCTGCATCGATGCTTAGTATTAATTATTATTTATTTATTTTAGTAAAATAATTTATTTTATTTATATTTAATGTAAATATTTTATTATTATCAACAAATAAACATGATATGATTTAATATTTTTTATTTATATTATTATATTTAGAATGAAAATATGTTATTTTAATAAAAATAATAATATGCTGCTATATTGTAAAAATGTAATATTCTTTTTAATATAATTTATTAGTGATTTTCACAATCTTCTTTATAAATACATCTTTTATTGAGGAATTATATTGTAAATTTTATTAGATAAATAAACAATCTTTTAGGTGAAATCTTTTATAATTTTTTTATCATTTTTTTAAAATTATCTATTTTTTATTAAATGAGGTAGATTTTATGAAACTTTTTTGATGATTTTATATGATCTTTTTAAGGATAATATTTTAATGTGACAATTGTCATAATCGTTATTTTATAAGTTTTTTGAATTTTTTTGAAGAAAATAGGTTAAAATAAGTATTAATAACATGTGTAAATATAAATTTAGTGAAGATGTACCAGTGAAAAGTGACAATTGTCATAATCGTTATTTTTAAAGTTTTTTGAATTTTTTTGACGACAATATGTTAAAATAAGTATTAATAACATGTTTAAATAAAAATTTAGTGAAGATGTATCATAGAAAAGTGACAATTGTCTAATCGTTATTTTATAAGTTTTTTGAATTTTTTTGAAGAAAATATGTTAAAATAAGTATTAATAAGATGTTTAAATAAAAATTTAGTGAAGATGTACCAATGAAAAGTGACAATTGTCATAATCGTTATTTTTAAAGTTTTTTGAATTTTTTTGACTACAATATGTTAAAATAAGTATTAAAAAAATGTTAAAACAAAAATTTAGTGAAGATGTACCATAGAAAAGTCACAATTGTCATAATCGTTATTTTATAAGTTTTTTGAATTTTTTTGAAGAAAATATGTTAAAATAAGTATTAAAAACATGTTTAAATAAAAATTTAGTGAAGATGTACCATAGAAAAGTGACAATTGTCATAATCGTTATTTTATAAGTTTTTTGAATTTTTTTGAAGAAAATATGTTAAAATAAGTATTGATAACATGTTTAAATAAAATTTAGTGAAGATGTACCATAGAAAATTGACATTGTCCTTTTAAAGTTTTTTGAATTTTTTTGACGAAAATATGTTAAAATAAGTATTAATAAGATGTTTAAATATAAATTTAGTGAAGACAATGAAAAGTGACATTTGTCATAATCGTTATTTTTAAAATTTTTTGAATTTTTTTGACGAAAATATGTTAAAATTTTATTATTTCTATATATATTTTTCTTATTGGTTATATGTTTAGAAATTTCGATATAATACCTTATTGATATAATATACTTTATTGATATAATATACTTACTTTATTGATATAATATATTTATTTCCACAAAGAAAATATAATAAAAATATGATTACAAATTCTTCTTTTTCAGGGTTTTTATAACCCACATAAATAATAAAAAAAATAATATTGATAAAAACAAATAATATTGATGAAAAATAATATTGACAAAATTATAATATTAAAAAAAAACAATATTAAAAAAAACAATATCGATTTAAAGAATATGAGTAATAATAAAGAAAAACACATACTAAAGCATGTTTACCACATGCCCCCCATAAAAAAATCAACTTACGCGAAAAAAATTATTCATCTCGTTTCTTTTTTTTTAAAAAAAAATATATATAATTTAAATTTTTCTAGTTTCTTTTTTTTAAAAAAAAAATAAATATAATTTAAATTTCCTCTTACGGCTCTTGAAATAATTGCTCCAACTCATCGGCCGATAGATCAACCATCGGCTATTCTCTAAACAATTCTCTTAAAATCATCCGAAAGGGGGGCCTGTTCCTGGGACGGTCCTATCACCGCCACTGGGCGCTCCATTTCCAGGGTTACGTGTTGCTCAACTCTCGCCGTTCCACTCATTGTTTGTGGGTTTTCCGCTCTTGTCACCGCAGGTAACATGGTCCGAACGGGCCAGGCTCCTCGTCTCCGCTCCCCACTATCATTTTCATCCCTTGCTTCAATGAAATTTCTTCTGTCATCAAACCTTCTCACAAAAGCATGGCGAGGCCCACGGGGGCATCGAACTTGTAAGTGGCCTCGGGCTCCACAGATGAAGCATCTCACATTTCTTATCGTGCGCCTGCCCGAATTTGGGTTCAGGCAATTCGGACTCCCGCCCCCTTCCGTTGATCATTAAAACGGCGCTATTTGTCTTCTTCGTGGGGTTCTGAGAATGGGTCTCGATTCGTGGTATAAACGATTTCCCTCTGCATCTACCCTTCCCGGGAATATACTAATTCGAATTGTTATTTTTCCCCAATACATACATTCATGGATGGGTGCCATTCTGAGTTCCATTATAAAAGAAAGGTATAATAAAAAAATATATAATGTACTTTTAACTACTTCTTGAATACAAAAACAAATTTCTTTACAACTAAATTTTATTAATAATTTATTTTTTGAATGAATTTAAAATATAAAATTTTGGAATTTTTTGAATGAATTAAAATATAAAATTTTGGATAATTTTCCTTTTATTCTTTCCAATAATCTTCTTCAAAACATGTTTATTCCCCCTTTTTTTTTACTGTCATCACCCTTCTATTCCCTCTCCAACAAGATACAATCTTGTATCAATTTTATTTACATGATTTATTAACTTGACAATTCAATACAAACTATTATTTGGGCACCACCACATAACATTTTTTTTTATACCATAAGTTATCTGATTTATGACGTTTTATGAGCCAATAATGCTATTATTTCTCTTCAAAAAAAAAATGAGGGAAACATAAAAAAAAAGGAAAACATAAGAGTTTTATCAATCGTATAAACAAAAATACTATATGATTGGAACATTATTAATCTGCTCTTTAAGATACATATTATTCCAACATGAGATTTTCAACAATTTTATATATTATATCAATGAATCTATAATTAATTTGGGTATATTAAGAATTTTTAAACAATGTTAAACATTATATCAACGAATCTATGATAAATTTGGATATACTAATTTTGATATATAAAAAAAAACGTTACATATATATATTTCACTGATTATTACAAATATATTTCTTTTCAATCCCATATAATTCTCATGGGATTTCCAACAACTTTATATGTAATATCCATGAATCTATGATTAACTTGGATATACTAATTTCGATATTTTTTAAAAAAAACGTTACATATATATATATATCACTGATTATTACAAATATATTTCTTTTCAATCCCATATAATTCTATTTGGATTTCCAACAACTTTATATGTAATATCCATGAATCTATGATTAACTTGGATATACTAATTTCGATATTTTAAAAAAAAAACGTTACATATATATATATTTATTTCATGGTATTGTTGCATAGACACATATATTTCCTTTTAATTTCATATAATATCATTTTGCTCCAAACACCTGATCGTAATCTTTTTTGTTTCAAACACCTGATCGTAATCTTCCTGGCTCCAGTCCCCGTTTTAGTTGGTCCCGATGCCTTATTCCTTCTCTTTCTTCAGAGAATTTTACTCGACTTAATTTATTTCCAATGTTTTCTACGATCACCCCTGATTCCCACCTTCTTGTATTTCCATATATTCTTGCCCACACAGTTTGTCCCATCATAAATTGAGGTTTCTCAATTATCTCCCTCTCAACCTCTTGATGTAGTTTTGGTTTTAATAAATCCAATAATATTCTGGTTCGCCGCCCTAAAAACTTCTCTGCTGGAGACTGTTCTTCTCCCTTTCGACTGTTGTTATAATAGGCTACGCTATCCAAATTTCCCACCTCCATACTTTGATTTTCTTAACCAGCTCTTAACAAGTGCTACCATTCTTTCTGCCTGTCCGTTCGAGCTTGGATGGTATGGCGACTAAAACATGTTTCGCCCCTGTTTCCTCAAAGAATAACTTGAATTGACCACTTATGAAGGCCGGACCCCCATCCGAAACTATTATATTAGGTACTCCAAATCGGGCCCAAAGTTTTTTTAACATTTTTATCACGACTTGAGTTGTCAATCACCTCACTTCTTCGTACTCCATCCATTTGGAAAAAGCATCAACCACCAGGAGGTATATCTTGTTTTCAAAGTCGAGAAAATCTAAATGAATTCTCTCCCAAGGTCGTACCACCTTCGGCCATACGCTTCTCTTGTCTTTACGAGGCATACTGGCCCATGAATTACACATCAAACAACCTCGGCAAATATTTTCAATTTCTTTATTCATGCCAGGACACCACACATACTCACACCCCCATTGCTTCATTCGCTCAATCCCTTGATGTCCAGCGTGTATCATAGATAACACTGCGCCTCTCAATTTCAATGGTACTACCCCTCGGTTTCCTCGGACCAGACATTCATCCACTATGGACAGCTTTTTTTCTATGCACTTAAAATGTTTATCTCCCTCTCTCCACGGTCTCTTTCCCCTAACACTCCTTTTATTTCGCATTAGTTCGCGATCTTTCACAGTGATTCTTCTTAGTTCCTCCTAAGTCACTGGACCACCTCTAGCTATCTTCGCTATCGCTCGAATTAGTCCCCTTTCTTACCTTTCTTCCACTTCTTCGGATCCTATTTCGCTTTCATCTTCTCCCGCCCCACATTGAGACAAAATATCAGGTAAATAGTTTTCCCTCCCCCCCTATATTTCACCTGCACATCAAAACTGCCAACCAGTAATAACCATCTTTGTAAACGAGGAGACAACATCAGCTCCTTATTATCCTTTTTGAAAAGATGGACTAAAGGTTTGTGATCTGTGTAGATTATAAATCTGCGTCCAATTAAGTATTCCCAGCACTTGGTCAATCCAAAAATAACCGCCAAAGCCTCCTGTTCGATTACTGAATACCTTGTCTCTGCTGCTTTAAAAATTCTTGAGAAAAACAAAATAGGTCTCTCCAGTTCGTCTATGTAATGAAGCAAGGCTCCACCCACACCCCTATTTGAAGCATCCACGGACAATATGACTTCCAAATCGTTATTAAAGCATACTAAGATTGGTTCTTTTCCAATTTTACTTTTCAACTCTTCAAAGGCCTCTTCCTGCTCATCTTGCCATATAAACTTTTCTCCCTTTTTTAATAATTTATATAATGGTGCCGCTATCCGGGCAAAACCCTCCACAAAACGGTGATAATAGTTTACCATTCCCAAGAAAGCCTGTAACTCCACTTTATTATTAGGTCTCAACATGCTTGTTATGCTCGCCATATTTTTGTCCAACGGCTTAACCTCCTTTCCATTGATTTTATGACCCAAATATATAACTTCAGACACTCCTAATACACTTTTTTCTGCGCTTGCCCGCAACCCTTTATCCCTGATTCTTTTGAAAACCTCCTCCAATCTTTGCTCATGCTGTTCAAGAGTTTCTCCCATTACTAATACATCATCCATGTAATAAAACACTCCTTCTAGACCTTGGAAAACAGCTGCCATTGTTCGTTGAAAAATCGGAGCCGACACGCTAAGTCCAAATGGCAATCTACAGAACGCAAACAATCCCTTCGGCGTAGTAATGGCCAATAGACGCTGCACCTCTGGCTTCACCCGCAATTGTAGGTAGGCATTTGAAAAATCCACTTTTGAAAAATATTTACTTCCTTTGAGACTGGCTAATATTTCCTCAATTCGCGGCAAGGGATATTTTACTTCCACCACCCACGGATTTAACGTGACCCGAAAATCTGCGCATAAACGGAGCTTTCCGTTGGCCTTTTCCACCGGTACCAATGGTGTTGCCCATTCGCTATATTCAACAGGACATACTATGCCTTTTTGCACCCATTGATCTAACTCCTTGTTCACTTCATTTCGCCATTCAAACGGTATTCGCCGTAACGCACAAAATTTTGGTACATGTCCCTCCTTCAATTTGATATCTACCTCATAATCTCTTAGGCATCCCAAACTTTCTTCAAAGATTTCCTTATAATTATTCACGAATCTTTGCACTCCCTCTTGCACCTTTATTATCGCAAATTCCATTTCTTCATTTCGAAATTCCTCGCCTTTTTGTCGCCCTGTCTCTTTCTCCTTCATTATTATTTCTTGATTATATATTCTTTTGGTATTTCCTTGTTTCCTACCATCATTATCCGACCATTCTTTCTGCAACTTTGTTTCACCCTTTGGAACTTCATCTAGTTTTACTTCTGATTTTTCATTATCATTAATTCCTTCCTTCCTTTCAGCATCCTCTCTTCCCTCTTTTCTCCTAAAGTCGCGACAATCCCTATAATTCCCCCCGATATCTCCCCTATAATTCCCCCCCCCCCCCCATATCTCCCCTATAATTTCATATTTTTATTATATTTTCTTTGTGAAAATAAATATATTATATCAATAAAGTAACTATATTATATCAATAAAGTATATTATATCAATAAGGTTTATTATATCGAAATTTCTAAATATATAACCAATAAGAAAAATATATATAGAAATAGTAAATTGGTGCCGTGTTAAACACTAGAACCTGGAGGTTAATCGCGCAGAGATTTACATATATTTTTAAGCGAAAAAAAAGCGAAAAAAAAGCGAAAATTAAGTTAAAACGTTAAAGCGTTGATAAATTTTCAAATATTGTCAAGCGAAAAAAGCGCTGACATAATAAATTAAAACGGTAAAGCGTTGATAAATTTTCAGATATTGTCAAAGCGAAAAAAGCGCTGACATAATAAGTTAAAACGGTAAAGCGTTGATAAATTTTCAGATATTGTCAAAGCGAAAAAAGCGCTGACATAATAAGTTAAAACGGTAAAGCGTTGATAAATTTTCAGATATTGTCAAAGCGAAAAAAGCGCTGACATAATAAGTTAAAACGGTAAAGCGTTGATAAATTTTCAGATATTGTCAAAGCGAAAAAAGCGCTGACATAATAAGTTAAAACGGTAAAGCGTTGATAAATTTTCAGATATTGTCAAAGCGAAAAAAGCGCTGACATAATAAGTTAAAACGGTAAAGCGTTGATAAATTTTCAGATATTGTCAAAGCGAAAAAAGCGCTGACATAATAAGTTAAAACGGTAAAGCGTTGATAAATTTTCAGATATTTTCAAAGCGAAAAAAGCGCTGACATAATAAGTTAAAACGATAAAGCGTTGATAAATTTTCAGATATTGTCAAAGCGAAAAAAGCGCTGACATAATAAGTTAAAACGGTAAAGCGTTGATAAATTTTCAGATATTGTCGCGAAAAAAGCGCTGACATAATAAGTTAAAACGGTAAAGCGTTGATAATTTTTCAGATATTGTCAAAGCGAAAAAGCGCTTACACAATAAGTTAAAACAGTAAGGCGTTGATAAATTTTCAGATATTGTCAAAACGAAAAAAGCGCTAATACAAATAAAAGTGAAACGAATAACCGCTGTAAAATTTACAAGAATTAGTAAGGCGGAAAGAGCGTTAAAACAAATAAAATTGAGGCGAATAAAACGCTGTAGATTTGTAAAAATTTTTAAACTAATAAAGCGCTGTTACAAAGGAAATTGAAATGAATAAAACGCGGGAGATTCGCAAATATTTTTAAAGCGAGTAAAGCGCTATTTAAAAAAAAAATAAAGCGAATAAGTCGCATGATATTTGCAAATATTATCAGAGCGAGTAAAACGCTATTACAAAAATTATACCAGTAGTGTAAGATTATTAGTTAAATTGCTGAAATTTAAAACGAATTTTACATTAATTTTCGTGAATTAATTAGTGGAAACAGAATAAACACAGAATAGTGTTTTTAGTTTGAAATATCATACAAAGAATATTAGTGATATATAAGTTTTGGCCATTATATTTATGTATATGTGCTTTATAGGAATATTCACAGTCCTAATCATATCTTATCTCTTAACTCTCCAAGTGATAAAAATTTTTATTATAAAAGTTATAGTTAATTTCTTGTGAATTGATTATGAAAAGTTTGAAATTTATAAAATACTGGGAGATCCAGTATAATATTCTTGGAGCACTTGTCATTTTAATAATATGGATATGTAGTTTAATTTTTGGAAGAAGAATTAGAAGGAGTAGGAATGTAAGGATTAAGGGTCAAACATTGACCATCGAAGGATATAATGGAGAAGAAGATGTGATGGGTAAGGTAACATGGTTATCTGTACAGGAATTGATCAAAGGATGGACTGATAGTAGCCTAGGAGAGTTGAATATAAATGATAGGATTGATAACACGCAAAAAAGAGACCGTTATAGAGGGTAGGGATATAACAATCAATTGGGGCCATATAGATTGTCAAGAGAAAATTCGCAGGGAAGACGAGTGGAAATAAGGCCAGGTTTTAATCCACGGGGAAGAGAAAATTTAAATTGTTATAATTGTGGAAAACAGGGTCATATGGTAAGAGATTGCCAAGAAACGAAATGTTTCGAATTTGAAAATTTGGACATATAGCTCCTTATTGCCCGGGAAAACGTGATAAATTACGTTGTGCGGGTTGTGGACGATTTGGTCATAATAGGGAAGAATGCAATGTTGCCAATTTCAATACAAGGGGCGGTTTTCCACAGAGAGATATGGTTCAAATTGCTCCAAATGTAAGAATTCTTGATAGAGGGAAAAATGAGGATATAGAAATATCCGATTTAACGGAGAATAAAAGTTTAAATAATATATGTTTTTGATGCCGCAAGGAAGGACATGTGGCGAGAGAATGTCAGTATTTGTGACTATATGATAGCAAAAGATATACCACAGAGGTCGAGAAGCAGTGGGTCAAAGAAATGGAAAAATTTAATTATGGGAATAAAAGGGAGAAGTCGAAATGTATAAATATGATCCAAGAGGAAGTAGTGCATGATCCTTGCCCTAGAGTATGGATTAATTTGAATGGGAATATGGTTTGCATGTTATTTGACACCGGGGCAGCTATCTCTGTGATGGGATATGAGAAATTTCGGAGTATTTGGTCGGAGGGAATGATTAAAAGCGAAGACATCAAGATCCGGCAGTTGGATGGATCAGAAGTAGCCGTGATGGGAAGAGTAGAATTAAAAGTGATGTTGGACAATAGAGTGGAGATATTGGATTTATGGATAATTAATCGAAGAATAGAGACCGTATTGGGATGGGACTGGATCACGCGAATAGGTCCAGATTGTAATTTTTGGGGTATATTAGCTTGGTGCGGTATATTTGTACCTATTGAAAGAAATGAGGGAAATCAATATAAGAATTATTGGCATAGAGATAGATTACCTGAAATTGAAACCTTTTTGGGGGAAGAAAGGGGTGGAAAAGGATATATCGGGGGGAATTATAGGGGATATATCGGGAGGAATTCTAGGGGAGATATCGGGGGGAATTATAGGGGAGATATCGGGGGGAATTATAGGGAAGATATCGGGGGGTATTATAGGGAAGATATCGGGGGGAATTATAGGGAAGATATCGGGGGGAATTATAGGGAAGATATCGGGGGGAATTACAGGGGAG